TTAACAGTAATTTCTTAATCTGGATCTTAAAGCAATCATGTCACCACCAAAAAAAAAAAAAAAAAAGGAAAAATTCAGTAACTACAAATATCTGACTAAGGTTTTTTAGACATCACTGTAACTCAATAACTGCTCCACTCTGCTATGAACTCTACAGCTTCAAGCTGGAAGTCAATCTAGGACAACCAATAGAAAGTGCACCTGTACAATTACTGCATTTCCTAATTCAGAAGGCCCAACTAAGAACAGATAAAGCCTGTGTGTACTCAGCTCACCAAAACAGAAATCCAGAAGTCCATGCATCTTTTGTACATATTGCACACCTATATTATAATTAATTTCAATGAAAAAATATCATATTTACAATGCAAAACCAGAAAATTACATTCCTTAACCAATGTTCACAAAACTCCCTTCTAAATGAAATACAGATCTCTACATACAGCATCTAAAATAATTAGATACACAATCATTTAAAAATCTTTCCCCCAAAAAATAATCACCAAAACTTAATAAAAAATGTATTCTTAAAAAGTAATCTAGTAACTGAATAGTACCACAGACAGTAACTTAAAATATAAAATATGAACTCCATGCTACACTGAAAAATAATCTGTATCACAAAAAAATACCTGTGTCATTTCAAGGAATGCAATCTTATTTTTAAAACCTGCAGAAATTTATTTTTCAAGTAATAAAAAATTACTTAGCTCTTTGTACTCTAAAATAAAAAATACACGCTGCTAGTAATTGATAACAATATAATTTATCCAAAGCAGTTTACCTTCCTGCAGATGCATTTTCATTTAATATCTGACCCCACTAAATAGTAAACAAGTTTACACATACCAACACCTTTCAGTGCTCAGAGAATTAACCTAAGTTTCTATAACTACAACATGATTTCTTAGTAACAGTCCTTTAGTATCGTCATTCTAAAACAATAAAAAAAAAAATGTCTCTGACACATATTGTTTGTATACTTGGGACCCCTTCAAAGTTTAACGCTTACAGATACAAAATCAAAATAACTAAGAAACTGAATCACCTTTAACTGATCATTGCACCAGACCAGTAGGGAATTTCAAGTTCCTTCTGCTTTATTTTATAGCATTTTTTAAGAGCAGGGATATTTTTATTATTGCACACACTGAAAACCAAATATAATCCCACACTCAAAAATACTACTGCAACAGCTTGATAGCACTCACCGCAAGTAATACTGTTTTAAAGCGAAGGCAGCGTTAGAACAACTTCTGGGAAAGTTAAACTCCTCTACAATTTCTCCCCACTGATTCTTCTCTGATACCTGTCAAAAACAACACACAGGCCGAGATACACAACGTACACGAAAACATGTTGCTGACAGCGAACATCACAAAAAAACACATGCTGCAATGAAGCAAATAGATAAATATATAAAAATAAATAAGCACAAACGTATATGGGATTTAGGATCATGTATTTTACTGACAGTCGGTAGTATTCACCCTTCGGGAATAATCCTGCTTCTCACGGGTCTTTTAATACATTTATTTTTTAATATACACATAGTTTTCTTCTGGGGGGACGGCCGGGAAGGCTAGTATTGTTTTGGGGTTTGTTTGTTTTTGTTTTTACTGCCTGGACAATAACCAATCGGGAGTCCCTCTGTCGCCCCCTTTTAAATCCTAACGCGGTCCGTTAAAAACCCAAAGAAGTTTAAAATAATGCTGGGAAGTGCTTGCGGGGGCGCCCCCTGGGCTGCGGGGCGCGGGGGCGCCGGCCCGGGGGGTCCCCCCAACAGAGATTCACAGACACAGAGAGGCCTTTCTTTTGAGGCCTACATTTCTGTCCCCAGCCTTGAAGCCTAAAGATGGCTATTTGATTACACACCGTCTTGGGTGCCCCTTTTGTTATTTTTCTCCGGGAAGGGCTCGGAGGGCAGCGCCCGGCCCCCCCCGGCTGCGAGGATCGTTCCCTAGCCCATGCTCCGTGCCGATTATCGATGTTAAACATGCCCGCTAATTTTGAGTTGCACTAAAACTGCACTCAGACTCTCTCTCCTCTCTGTCTTTCCCTATGCGAGAGAGAGAGAGACACGCACAGAGCTGCCACCACAGCCGAAAGAAGCCTCCTTTCGCCGCCCGCAGCTCCCTGCTCCCCCCTCGCGTTGCCGCGGGCAGGGGGGCAGGGGCGAGGGGGTCCAGCGGAGGCGGGGGAGGCAGGAGCGGGGTGTGCGCTGTACCCCCGGGTCCCCGTTCATCGCTCCGCCGACAAGGCCGAGCCACCAACCTGCCTGTCTGCTAGCTTCCTCCTTCCACCCCCCACCTTCTATAACCGGCTTTAAATAGGACGGTTCCCGGCCACCCCGGCTCCCCCCGCCACCCCCGGGGGTCAGAGGAGACTTTTGGGAAGAGGTTAGTGGGAGGGAAACCCAAATTAAAACTTCCACTCACCTTCCCAAATCCGCCTAAAGTGGTGACTCTGGTATAGAGAGCGTGAAGATCCAGCTCCTTCCCACCCACCACGGGGATCTTCTTAAAAGGAGACCTGCCAAAGGAGATACACACAAAACACCACAACTTGTCAGCTCTGCCCCCTTTTCTCCCCTCGCTAGGGCTGCCGTGTCCTTCAGGGAAGGGGCTGGAAGTTGGATCTGGTCGGTTTAAAAGCCTCCCCCCCTCCCGTTCCATCTCCCCATTTTCCTCACCCTCTGCTGTGGTGAAACTGCCGCAGCTCGTCCAGGAAAGCGAGTCCCTTTCTCCGCTGGTCTGCGTGGTTTTTACCCGTCGAATTTGCCATTTTTGTAATAAAAAAGGTTCTCGTAAAAAAAAAAAAAATCCAATTTAAAAAAAAAACGGCCGACAACAACAACAACAATCCCCGGCTCCTCCTTGTCTTTAAGAGACCCAGGTGCCCGTGCTCGGCCGGGGATCAGCCATGGAGAGGGGCTTGTTTAAAAAAAAGTTTAAAAGGAATAAGGGAGCCCCGAGAGTGTGGTAATTGCGAGTCCTGTCTCCACACAACACACGGGCGAAGAGGCAGGGAGGGAGAGGGGCACCTCTCAGTAAATTCCTCCTCCCGCGGCTGCTGCCTCTCTCAGCACCACAAACCCAGCCGATCCAGCCTGCACATGAGACTCAACATGGTGCTGCTGGATCACACAATGAATTGGGTTACTGTTGTGGTGGGGCGGGGGGGGAGCCGGAGTGAGGTATTGACAGTGTGTGTGTGTTACAGCCGCGGCTCCATGCGATCTCCCTCCCTCGCTCGCTCGCTCCCTCGCTCGCTCCCTTACACACACACACTGTACAGCTACGGCGGCGGCGGCGGTGGCGGCGGCAGCGGGATTCACTTCTCTTCTCGCTCAGACAAAAAGATCTGAGGCCGCCGTGCTTCTGCCTGGACGAGAGCGCGACACAGCGGGCTCCGGAGGCCGCTGCCGGTACTGCAGAAGGCAGCTCCAAAGGCAAAAGCCAGCACAGCCCCAGCAAGCAGTTCCTGGCGGGGAACAATAGGCTCCTCTCGCCGCTAAGGGCTCATCTGCAATGTGCCGCAAACTTCACACAAAGCCAGGCGGAAAGAGGCGAGGGAGAGGGAGAAGAGGGAGGAAAAAAACGGCTACTACCGGCTGTTGTGGGGCGCGGGGCCGGTGCGGGGCCCTCCCGTGCCAGGCTCGCGCCGACCGGCCTCCCTCCGCTGGCTGCCGGCTGGAGGGGGGAGGGAAGGGGGGGGGGCGGGAAAGGTGGATTTGGAAAGCGGGGCCGAATTTTTTAATTGGACTAAACCCAACGCCCTGAGTTCAAGGGGAGAGAAAACAACAACCGAAGGGGGCACTGGTGGATGTAGACTTTCAGAAAACTTTCCGACTCCCCCGGACCGAGGTGTTTCCAAGGGCAGGAAGTCGCCCCGGATGGCACGGCGGGGGCGGGGGGGGGAGCAGCAGGAACCCCTCATTTTGAGGCGTGAGGGCTTAAAAACTCCCTAAAGGAGTATACCGAGCGTTTCCCCGAGCAGGGGGTGCCCTGAAGAGGCTTGCCAGCAGGGGCCTGAGCTGTGGCTCACTCCATAAATATTTTTTTTCCTTCTTTCTCCTGGAGATACTACGGCCTGTAATCAAAGTGTCTCAGGACTGCTGTATGCAATCTAAGCCGCCCATATATTTCTGTGCATTGACGAATGGAACACGCAGTACAAAAGTAATGGAGGGGAAGATCTTGGCCCCCACCCTGGATGGGCAGTAGCCCCCAGTGGCGCTGCAGGCCGCTTACCCTCTGCCTGTGGTGTGCGCAGTGTTTGTAAACATTCATCTCCTGACGTGCTTTCCACAGGGGAGCCCAGGGAAAGACCTACACGACAACCATGGTGAAGCTTGGTGCCACCCGGAGTAAACAGGAGCAATAAAGGGCTGATGGTGTAAAGGGTGTCTTCAATCAAACCTTTGCTCCTCGGGTAAGCAAGCAGTACCCAGGTGGGCATTTGTCCTTCCCTGGCACGCAAACAGAGCCACAGGTGAGTGCTTGCTCCAGTTTAAGAGACTCTGAAGGAATATTTGCCTCTCAAAACCAGTACATTGAAATTCAAGGCCAGATTGGGCCTACAGGATAGGGGTTTTTTTAAGCAGAACTCATTAAAGTCAGTAAGGAGCTGTGTTTTAAAATCAATGGCACGTTATGGCCCCCAGTGAATACTTAAAGAAGGAAAACTATAGTTCCTTTTTACTCTAACTACTAACTTCAGAAAATAAAACTTTTTTTTTCAAAGAATATTTTTTCCATTGGACTTCAGTGCTGTTGCAGCTTGAATATAGAGACAGATACAGTAAGATGCTTCATAAGATTGCTTCTGGGTTCATAGGTTTTTTTTTTTGGGGGGCGAGAAATACCTCTGTTTCAAAATAATACTCCGTATTGCAAGTTGTTCTATTTGGATGGAGTGGTGGTGTGTGCATTTCAGAGTATGAAATGCATAGTGTCTTATTCACTGTAGCATTAACAGTTCCCCCCCCCCCTTCTTCTAAAATTAGACCTACAGCAGATCCTGGTCTGCAGCTCCTGTCTCTGACACTCTCAGCTTCTGCTATTTCAGCACCAAAGCCAGGATAATACAAATGAGAGAGATTTAAAACAAGCGATTGGGGGGGCTACCCTGCTCTTTCAGACATACACAGCTAAATCTCCCTTCAAGAGGGACGTGTTTCTTAATCATGCCTTAAAAATTCCGTAAAAGCAGGGGGTCTCCCCTCCGCTGAGGGGCGGTCGGCACAGGTGAGTCACTGCTCGCCCGGGTGCTCTGTGAGGAGAGCGGGAAGAGGGGAGCACAGGCAAGTTGCGTAGCAGGACTAGGTGGGTTTCTATGCTAAGTACAGCAATTGCGCACGGTCCCTTACGTAACTGTCAGCTGGGGATTCCCTAGACGGGGTCACTTTATTCAACCATTACACACACCCCGGCCGCCTCTCCGGCGCGCCTGGGCTGCCGCGGCAGCCGCCACTGATGCTGCGGCTGCTGCAGGGAGCACGGCAGCTCCTCACAAAATGGCGGCGCCCATGGAAGCGGCAGCCCCATTTTGTGCCCGGCAGAGCCTGTCAACAAACGCCGACTTGGCCGCGGCTGAGGAACAGAAGGCGGCGGCTCGTTCGCGTTACGGAGCGCGGAGGGAGGAGAGCGGAGGATTTCACCGCCCTCCCGCCGCCGAGAGGAGACTCTCTATCGAGCGCGCGCGTTGGGGGAGGGAGAAGAGGGAGGTGAAGGGGGACGCGAGCAGCGAGCGAGTCAGAGGCTGCGTTATCCCAGCACGGAGCTGCCGGAGCTGCGGCGCGGGGGAGGGGAAGGCGAAGGCCGAGGCAGGCGGCCTTGGCGCTGCCCTCGCTGGGGCCGGGCGCCCGGAGATCCGGGGGCTGCGGAGATCCGGGGGCTGCGGGAGCGGCGGGCGGCCCCGGAGCGGACCGCAGCCCGGGACCGTCCGTGCGGGGAGCACTGCACTACGCTCCGCTCCCGCTCTGCACGGCCGGACGGGGCCGTGCCTGTCGGATTCCGGCGAACCTGTAATAAGTGACAGGACGATCGAGCTCCTTGTGTAGCTAACTAGGTCACTGGTAGCACTTAATTACTGTTTGTTTCATTTTAGTGCGTGCCTTATGAATAAACCGGCTATTAGGCTGATGCTTCAAGTAACACTATCCAGCACCAAGGTACAAAATGTCTGTATTGGACTCTGATCTTGTGATGCCATCTTGGTAATAATTACTGTTGTACATTAACGATGTCTTGGTTCTTATAGCTTGGTTATTCGACTTATAACTGAAACAGGTGGAAAACCCTGGTGTGAGGTTGTGAAGATGATTCTAGTATTACACAACAGGTTTTGTTGGGTTTTTTTGTTGATGAGGGCTCTCCTCTTTTTTGAGGTAGAGAAAGGGTTTGTGCATTAAGACTTTTTTCTGGTTTGTCTTAATATGCATGCTTTTTAATGGTATTAAATAAAGGAGATGACCTATTTCTGGTGGAAATGGTAATTTTTAAGTTTACCAAAATTACCTTGATATTAGGGGTTTATGAAACACCTTGTTGCATATTAAAGAGTCAGAGATTAAACGTAGGGGAAAAGGGAAAAAATCTTTAAGGGAAAAATGTTTAGGGAAAAAATCCTTTTATTGATTTCTGTATAGTACTTTTCAATGCTATTTGAGTTTATTTAAGTTGTAAAATAAAACCTGTAGTATTATACACTGTTTATAAATACTATCATACACAATGAATTTTGGTGTGTAAGTGTTGTGTTGGGGAAGTCTTGCAGACAGGCAGGTCCAGTAACTGAATTGTAACTATTTGGTTCTGGTTAGGTGAGGGGTTTTTTGTCTGTCTATTGGTAGAGGTTTTTTAAGTATAGCTGTGCTGAGTGAACGTTGTGTTCTAGGAGCTGTATCCTGTGTTGCAGTTTCAATTTTTTTTTCTTGAATCTTTCATACTTAATTTTGTGCTTAATACCTATTTGCCATATTGCTGCTCTACAGAGAGCAGGACACAATTGCTGTTGTCACTGTGCCACTAACTCTGCATTTGCTTTCTGGTGGGTGAAATATTCTTGCTAATTTCCATTTTCTTTTGTGCTTGTGCTGCTCTTGAATTGTGGCAACATTATATTTTGATTAGAGAAACTAGTATCACTAGCTGTATGCTACTTATATTAAACAGTAAATGGTAAATCATTAGAAACTGAAATTAATTTTATCTGTATGTATGTGCAAGTGCTGTATATGTGTTTTTTGAAAATACAGCCTATTAGATGGAGTAGAGAATCCAGTAAATTTACTCTCAAGACTGCAGACAGCGTAAAATATAGGTGCAATCTGAAAATAAACACAAGAATTACAGGATGAACATCTGGTAGAGAAGAAAGGGTCAGAAAGCCACATTTGGCAAATTTGAGTGACAATCAGTTCAACTGTATTTAATAGAAAATGTTAAGGTGATGGAGTTAATAGTATATGCTGGGCTAAAGACTTCACTGTTTGGATAGCTTGCTGTGACAAATGTACACTTCAACAAGGGGCATTTACTGAGCTAGGTATTAGTCCTACTTCTTGTTACTGAATAATATTTTAAAATTCGTCATTATGTTTTACTGTGCTAGCATCTTTTAAAGATACTGCTACCTAGTGTAGACCATATGTGACTAATCTTCAATGGTACACTCTTAAATGATGAATGAAAGGTCTTACGCATGAAAGTAAATGCTAAACAGCACAGCAAAGGTGGGAAAATGGGTGTACAGTATTTTAGGCTATTTCTGCACACTTGCAAACAATTTTTACTACAGTTACTTGAAATTAAATATTCCAGAAGGCTTGGCCTAGATAATACTTAAAAATAAAATAAAATTAAAAATGCTCTTACATTGAAGAGAACCAGCTTCTTAAGTTGTTTATTTAAAAGACTTATGACACTTCCCTCCTAAATCTTCCAACATGTTGTGCACCTTCCTCATTTCAACTTTGTGGTATTACTACTTAGGAAATAAAACAGAAGGAAAATTGGGCTACATAAACAATGTTGAAAATAACCAAGTAAATTGATTAAACACTTTTTAAAATATTATCTGTAATTATTGTCATTTTCTAATACTTGCTGTTCTTCACAAAGGTCCAGCTTTTGGAGCCATTGAATTTTATGGTCATCTAAACTTCAAATTGAAAACACTTCAAATATGAGGGTTTTTCAGTTGTGCACTGAAGTATGGAACACAAAGCAGGAAAACCCTAAATGCAGCTGAAAGAGAAGTAAAAATAAATACATAAATGCACTCCCACTTGATTTCAAAACTGCAGTGCTTTTGAAATCCTGATTCTTTACTAGGTCTTGACTCTTGTGTTCTGAACACTCTGGGTTGGCAATACTTCAGAAGTAAGTTTAGGAAGATTACCAAATTCATATCCTTTTCTCGCTGGCAAAAAGTATTTGCTGTTTTAAGTTATAATGTAATGGAGATTAGGGCTTCAATGGCAGAAAATATTTTGGTGTTGTAACAAGCATTGGTCTGTAGCACAACAGTCATGAATTTCCTGACAGCAAATGGGTACAAGTTTTTTACAAAGAAAAAAATAAATTTGCACTTAGTAAATTACCTGTTTCAAACATTACTTTGTTATTACCTCTGTGTTTGAGTGATCTGGTAGATGGCACACTTCCCCCTGCCACTATAGCTGTACACTGTTCCCCGAAATAGCAATAGTGTGATTCATGTTTCTGGTTGAATGTGTGAAAGTTTAATTGAGATGCAAAACTCAGAGAGTTCTTCTGAATGTTAAAAAGGAACCATGCTCAGAAATAAAGAAACGATCAGGTTAAATTTGGCTCAGACTTGAAGGCTTTTTGTAGAGTAAGAGTTATGGTGCCACACGTGGATGGGGAAGGTCCAGTTAACTTAAAGCAAAACCAAGGCTAGTAACTTCAAAATATTTGTTAGAAGTGAAATCCTACTAGTAGGTGAAATCCTACTAGTAGGTGAAATCCTACTAGTAGGGGAGTTCTCAGTATTGCAGATTCGCCAGCAATGTTTGCTTGTCGAGTATTACTGTCTCATTTTTCTATTTTTACCGATTCAACTGACAGTCAACAGTAGCTAAAATTATGTAGAAATTTCTCTTGAGTGAGCAGTTGCCTTACCTAGCTTTTATATAAGCAGAAACGAAAAGGGAAGTAGTTTGTGCAACTGTGAATGTGTGGACAGACAATACATGTGACAGTTTATGCATTTCAGTGTAATCTGAACTGCAAAAGCACTTCTGAAAACTTAAGTAGTAAATAAAAGAAATACTAATCAATAACACTGAAACTAGGCAGTCTATTAAAATCAAGAACTTAAAGCAGAGAGAACCCACAGATGCACTTTGAAAGGAGAAAATTTGTTGTTGTTTAATTATAATTCTCAGTGTGTCTGTTGATCTGCCTAATCTGGAGATTTGGCCTTAAAGACTGCTGATAGATAGGTGGCATCATATTGAATGCTGTTGTACTGCCCAAATAAAAGGAAGTATTTTTACTATTAGACTAACTGAAAAAAAAAAAGCCCTCAATATTATTGCATTGGTTCAGTGCTGATGGGACACCTAACTTGAAAATCGCACTTAAAACATAAGACTTAGGCTTTTAGCTACAGTGTCTAACATAATTGAGAAAAAAGCTAATGAGAAACAGTTTTTGAAGTTGTTTACATTAAAAGGGCTATCAAATGTAGTCGAGTATCAGTTCCTGTTGCTTGCAGTAACATGATAGCATTTGAAGCTCTTTGGGGAATCTATGACTGTTAATCTCCAGATGTTATAAAAATGTTTATTAGTCTGGGCTTGCTACTATTTCTGCATTTTGAGCCTTAATATAAGATCTCTCTTACCAGGATCTTGTTGCAAACTCTCCTTGAAAGCAATGTAAGTTGCTTAGGAAAAGGTAGCAGAAACGGAGTGCATATATGCTCCTGTATCTTCTATCAGTTCTTGATGCTGGAGTTTCTGAGGCTCCCAGGGTCCCTACATTGAAGAGCAGTCGATGTCCAGAGCTGGGTTAGTATCTCGTTCTGAGCCGAGGTGCTCATAATGTGGTTTAGAGCAGAGTGAGAATAGTCCCCTAACCCTTTAACGAGAGGCAAAAGTGCAGTGTGGGGGTATTTGGGGGTAGCTGTGTTCAAATGTGTTACGCAAGCTGGTCTACTTAGCCTTGTCCTTATCTAGCTTGTGTGCAGAGTGGGGAAACTGCAGGCTTAGGGAGAGGTCTCTTCCCTCCATGAAGACTCAATAGCATGTATTGAAGAACAGTGAGAACCTCAAAGAATCCTTGCAGTCTTGCTGAGGAAGAAAAAAGGGAGATGAAAGGAAATGTAGACTTAATCAAGGGAGGAAAAATCTGATAATTTTGAGTGGAGCAGCTCCTGTGGGTGCTTTCAGCAGTGTCACAGGTGACTTCAGATACAGATCTCCTTAGTTACAGTTACCATACAGTTTGTTTCCATATTTTTCTGATTTGGGAATATTTAGTCCTGCAGCTATTCACGCTTGATTTGTAGTCTTTATTGTTCTAAATATTTTATTCCAATTTATTGAACACAAACTTCCAGTGACTTACGTGCTGTGCCACAGACTGTGTGTACTAAGTTCCCCAGCATAAACAACAGTGCCCTAAGCTTACAGTGTGGTCTTTCAGAATAAAGCTGCTTCTTGTCCTGTTTCATCCTTCACCATGTTCCTCTAGTGTTACTTTGCAAAGTCAAAATAGATTATTTTTTTATTTATTGTTACAGGTTTGGCTAGATTTACAAGACAATAAAAGTAAAGTAAGTGTATCTGTGAATGAAACTCTTTGAATAATTGTGTTTCATCTGTTACCTCCATTTTAGTAAGTCCAGGCTCATTCTTCCCTTTGCTTTAGGAAAATTAAATAATGTCACAGTTTTTCCTTTAGATTGGTTGCTAAGCTATTACAGGACCCGCATGGTGCTCCATTGGAATTATTTGCACTTAGAACTTCTGAAAATGGAGGTGTGTGTCCTTAATCCAGGTGTTTGTGTCATGTTTGCAGTACTATACAGAAATTGTAGTACATATTTGATAGTGCAAATTTCCCCATGACATTTAAGTATTGTGCTAAGGAATCATCTTCTTTTGCCAAAATATGCCAATTAAACTTTCAAAGACGTTTGTTTTTTGTTTTTGTTTTTTTTTTGTCCTGTTTGGGTAACTAACTGCAACCAAGTTCATATCAGGATCAATTTACTTATTTGTAGAAGAAAATACATGGACATTCAATTTATTATTTTTTTATCTGCCAAAGAGTTCTTGACCTTTAAATGAAAGTTTATTCGTAGTTTTTGTCTGCAACTGAACATAAAAGTATATATATAATTACATACAAACTTAACATATATAAAAGTTAAGGCTGAAGAATTCAGTGCTCATTGGTTAAGTTTTCCATCTGTGTGACATCATGTATGTGTATTATGACAGTCCTTAATTATATGATCGCTTTTTGCAATGCATGATCCTTCAGTTTGAGGTGGAAACTGCTCACAGAATTAAAAAGATAGAAAAGTTATGCCTCTGTATCTGTGTTAAATGTTTATCTGAATACAGATTTTTTTTTTTTTTGCTTTTCTCACAGGCTTTCTTAGAATAATCATTAGGAGAGTATCCAAATGCTCACGCTAATGAGTTCCCAAAAATTCTGAGATAGTAGCATTATCATCACTGTAATGCTGAGAAAGCTAAGGCACTGAGCATTTCAATAAAAGAATGGCTGATAAATTGGGTTGGTTTTCATTTAATCAAAGCACAGTTTCAGTGAATGTAATGTACAGGTTACTTGAGGGTGGAGGTCGTTCAACAATAGGAGTGCTAGCTATAACTTTAGAGCTGTGTTAAATTCAGTGATAGGCTTTTCATGAACTGTGGGTACATGCTGTGGTCCTGTCTGCATTATTAGGGCTTTCCTAGTGCAAGATTGCTGGGATGCTCTGTTCTTCAGAAAACTTGCAGTGATGAAAATGCATGATTATGGTAGGTGCTCCTGGATATTTCTGCA